TAACATTTTTACAAATGGACAACGCATTATGGCATTTTTGCAAAATAGCATACCAAAAATGACATTTTTCAAATTGTTCATAAAAATAAAGTAATTTAGAAAACTATCATTAAAAATCCCTTTTCCAATTTTTCTTAAAAATAAAGTAATTTAGAAAACTATCATTAAAAATCCCTTTTCCAATAATTTTGTCCTGATTTTTAAGAAGTAAAATCTAGTTATGAATAATTTTAAAACAGGAAATTGCATAATACTAAATCTTGTAGATTTTCACAAATCTACCAAGCGCTATGGTATATAAAATACAATAAATAAAGGAGAAATTAAAAAAATATTATTTTTATGTGCACATTTGCAAATAGATTTTTAAACTCTATATCTTAAAATTCTAAACACTAAAAAATGTTTTGACCCATAAACCCTCTTAAACCCTCATAACTAAACCCTAATATAACATAATTAACACAAACATAAATAATATAAACAAAAAATAATTTTGAAAAAATGGCATTTTTGTAAAGATTTTAAAAATATGGTATTTTTGTAAAATGACACTTGAAAAGTGGCATTTTTTGAAATTTCTCATAAATAATGAATGAAAAAAAGTGAAAAAAATATATATGAAAAAGTGGAATACTAATATTCATCTTAACTTCTGAGTTTTAACGTAATAATGGTGATAATATCTGGATTGTATTATATATATTTGAGTATTTAAATTGACAAACATCAATTGATTTTTTTTTTTTGACAAACACATGAATGAATAAAAATAAATAAAAAGCACATGGGTGACTATATTAGTCTCTTTACAAATAGTGTTGTTTTAAACCTTTAAGATTTATTGTAATTTTCATTGTAAAATTTATAATATATTCATAGTTAAATTCAACATAAAGAGGTTATAATTAGAGAAATTTAAAAAAATGCCACTTTTCAAATGCCGCTTTACAAAAAAGCCACACTTTTGAAATTTTTACAAAAATGCCACTTTTTCAAAATTATTTTTTTTTATATTATTTATGTTTGGATTAATTATATTTTTTAGGGTTTAGTTATGAGGTTTTAGAGGGGTTTAGTGGTCAAAATATTTTTAAATGTTTAGAATTTGAAGTTATAGGATTTAAAAATCTATAATTAGTGT